ACATCTAGCAAAGGAGTCATCTCATGGCATCTAGGAAATCAGCTTACTTTGTGACACAAATATAGCCTCTGCTCCTTGAATGAACCCATTTTCCTTTCCAGCATTGAGTAGAATGTACCTATAAATAAAAATTTCAACTGAATGATGTAGTAGTTTTTACTTCTTTTATTTTTATTTTGCCAAAAACGATTTATAGTCTTATTTTAAAAAATCCACGTCTCATCAATAAAAACAAACTGAACTCTTCTTCACCAAGAGGCTGTCTTCCAAAAAAAGATATGGAAGCTTCTTCATCTCTCTTCTAGTAATTATGACGGATGTAGTATAGAAATAGAATTTATTCATCTTTGAGTATTATACACTATAGAAAGACACTAGGTACATAATGTAAAATCCTATTAGACTAGTCAAAAAAGTGTTAAATATAATAAACAATTCATGTTAAGATTAGTTTAAAAGTTCAAAAACTCTTCTATACTATAAAATACATTATTTATAAGAAAATCATTAAAATGTTTTCTTAAATCAGTGGTCGCCAACCTCTCAATGTGTTGAGCTACTTTGTTAATTTTGAAATAAACAGCGAGCTACCCACACGGAAGCCACGTAACGCAACGTAAATGAAATAATTTACAGTTAATTTATCATTATATGTATTTATTTTACTATTTAACTGGTAATACATAATACATAGGTACTAATAATAAACTAATAACAAAACAACTAATATTACTAGTACGTACTTGTTCATAGCTACATTCCTACCTACCAAACGAAGGTGTTTGAAAAATAAACACAAACTTTTATCCAGCCACAACGGCATGTCACGTAAGATTTAAAAATAGTTAATAATAACAACAAAAAAGTAACGCACTATCATGAACATAAACATTGAAAAATATAAAAGCACGTTCAATGAGAAGGCTGACACTCTAAGACTCATCGATAATTTTTTTAATGTTTGCAGTATAATTTGATACAGCCATTCGAATACAATTATCCAAATGTTCATCTGTAAGTCGATTGCGATATTTGTTCTTAATAAACTTCGTATTGGAAAAATAAGATTCACACAAATAGGTTGAACTGAATAATGCTTTCACTTTCAAGGCAACACGGCATAGAACTGAATATTTGTCTTTACTTACAATAGGCCAGATACATTTGGTACTTGAGACTAACAATTTTAAGACAAAATCATTTTAAAACTCAATTACTTCCATTTCTGTTGCACCGATGTCTTCGCCAAAGTTCTGCATAACACAAGTTGCAAACTGTTGGATATCAATTTCCATAAAGGGTGAAACAACAAACTGCGCTACTAAAACCATTTAGTTGAAATCTTTAAAACGATTTTTGAAGTTATTCTTCAGGGTAGAAACTATTTCTACATGATATTTGCTGTCATAGGGTTCTAATGGATTTTGAGATATTTTTTCTGAAAGAATAGGAAAATGCTTGGCATCGCTGTTAATTAGGTTTTGTTCCCAAAACTCCAGCTTTTTGATAAATGCTTTTATATCAGAAATCATTTCCGCTAGTTCTTTGTTTCTCCCCTGAAGCTGCATATTAAGTTCGTTTAATTTCTCTGTAATGTCCACGAGAAAACCAAAATCTCTAAGCCAGATTGAATTTTCTAGTTCCGGAGTCGGTACATCGCGTTGTTTAAAAAATTGAACTATGCCAGATAAGACATCATTAAAACGTTTCAGCACCCGTCCTCTACTTAACCATCGGACTTCAGACTGAAGGAGTAGGTCCCCGTATTCACAGTCAACTTCATCGGCCAAGGTTTTGAATAATCTTTGTAACGCTTGAGCTCTAATCTTGTTCACAATTTTTACCACCAGTTTCATAACGTTGTTTAGTTTCAGGAAATTTCCACATAATGCCTGCTGATGGATAATGCAGTGGTAACAGAGAAATTGCGAAAAAGTTTTATCTTTACGACATAACGTCACCAGACCCTTATCACAACCCACCATAGCTGGAGCGCCATCGGTTGTCAAGCCTACCATTTTCGATATTGGAATTTTCTCGGAAGAAATAATATTTTTTAAATGAGAAAACAACTCCTGTCCAGTAGTGTGTCCATTCAGTGGAATAAACTTCAAAAGATCTTCTTTAATCGTAAAATCACTAAAAACCATACTGACGAACACGCCCATCTGTGCAGTGTCAACGACATCTGTTGATTCATCCAGTTGAAGTGAAAAATAAACAGTTATCTAAGTCAGTTCTTAACTGTAAAAAAATATCATTACTCATTACTTCTACACGTCTCATCACTGTATTAGCAGAAAGTTGCATAGATTTTATAGCTGAAACTATCTCGTCTTTATTTCTAAAGTTGGCAAATAACGAATCAGCAGCTTCTAAAAACGCCTGTTTTATCATTTCCCCGTCTTCATAACGTTTCTTTTTTGTGCAATTATCTGGGACACACGGTACGATGCTTCAGTTGCAGCCTTATTTTTGTCGACTGTTCCTAAAAATATTGATTGTTGTCCAATTAACTGCTTTTTAACTGTTTCAGTTTCTCCTTTCTGGCGGCAGAATGTAGTGGGAATGATTTTTCAAAATTAAAATGTACAGTTTTATGATATCTCTCAATATTTCCTTTTTTAGCAACGGAGACCGAAGTATTACATAACAAACACACATTTTTATCTTTAACTTCTGTAAAAAAGTATTTTTCTTCCTATTCCGAATGAAAGTGGTATGTGTTTACCTTCTTACAACTGCTTGCCATACTCTTATTTTTTGTTGTTCTCTACTAACCCAACCGCTGGACGTTGGTTACGCGTTCAGTATTAAACTAAGCGCAATGTCGCTACGCCGTGCGTATTTATCCCGTTCAAAGCAATCCTGATCGTTCTCGAACACTAACGCGCTGGTCCGGCTGGTCGGTTCTAGCCGATTCTAGCTTGATGGCGTCAGCGGCAGATCGTATATCGCAACGTTGCCGCATTTTATGTTTAATATTATGACAATTTGATTTTTTTGTGGAATTTTCAGAAGCTTCTCTGATTTTTGCAGTTTGTATTTTTTAAATTAAAATCGTTGTGAGAGCTACCAGAATTGCCTCCGCGAGCTACCGGTAGCTCGCGAACGACAGGTTGGCGACCACTGATCAAGAGAATATTTAATATTTTTTGATATTCATCTCAGTTTCTCAACCTTGTTGATTTTTTAATACTCAAACTTTTTAAAACTCTTCTAGAATCTGCTGATTCATTTGAGTCTGAATTTATATTTACTAAAGAAATTCTTTTTATTTTCTAATTTAGATTCTAGCAAGTTTTAAAGCTTTTTCTTTCGATTTATCTCACCTTCTTTGGCTTCTACTACCTTCTGTGAGATTATCTCTTTGCTTTTTAGTTCAGCTATTTCACATACTAAATTAAATATTTCTTCTTGTTTTAAGAAATGCTGTTTTAAATTTTCCGGATTGCTAGTAGTTTAGCTTTTCTACTTTTCTTAGATGCAAATTTTTACTTTTTGTAAAACCTGGTCTTTTATAAAAGGAGTTACTTTGTTCTACCTGAAGATTCTACTGACCTTAGCAAAGCTATATAACGTTGGCATGTAGCTAAAATATCGAAGAAGTCTAAAGTAAATATACCATAAATTAGAAAAGATAGGATATTAGATGACTGGGGATAAAAGACTCCAATAGCTGAGGACCTTCTTAAGAGGCAACTTGGAATTCCCATTAGTGGAAATGTAGATACTCTTTTTGTTAGACCTCAGGGCTGGTGCCATTTATATTTGGTCAAGACCTAATGACAATAAATTTTGTTCGTTTTTATGTACGTCTGCCCCATAGTGTTGACCTTTATTCCTTTCCCTGATTATTACAAGAAAGCCGGCTAGGTGGGGGTAACCGGCTTCTCCAGATGACAATCTGCTATTATTGTTTCTCGTTGGACTTTGCGAACATGATCTAGGTGAATTTCTAGCCTCATTCTTCGATTCTCGATTCACAGAACGAGCCTTGCTTCTAAAGGTTCTTTGGTGTCCAATTCTTCCGCAATTGAAGCAACTTCTGGTTTTATTAGCTGGCTTAGGAATACCTTGTCTCCAGACGAATAAGTGGGTTTTTTTTGGGAAAGTAACTGTATAACGGTTGCTGCCTGTCCATGCAGAGACACTATCAATAAAGCCGCCATCTTAAAAATCAAACCATTCCAGATATTTCCTTTCACTTTTCACGAAAAACAAATTTTAAAATTCTTTTATTGGCAAAAACAGAAGCAAAATGGTATTTACACTCATGTTATCATAACCCAACAAGGCTCTATTCATAGAGAATGACTCACATAACCCAGTAAACAGGAAACAGCTCAGCATATTCCAAGGTGCCCTAATCGTCCCAGACAACATTGTTTTAACCTCTAGCTACGTCACTAGATAAAATATTATAAATAGGATCCAATAGAGATCACAGCGTCTTTTATGTCTTTAAACTATTATTCAACATTAAATTCCCGTCTTTGCCTTTTGCCGTAAGTAAATGTGTTTAAAAGTTTTAAGTGTTGTTTTTAAAAAATTAATAACAAGAAGAAACCCATAACACTCATAATCTTATTATTATTGTTATTATTATGTAATCATTTTAGTCACATCCAATTGCACACTTCTTGCGGTTGCTTATAATAGAGTAGCTTCCTTCTGTTTGTTAGAACATTTTGCCGCACATAATTCCCTTGCGTGTTTTCGTGTTTTTTTATTTATATTTATATAATATTAATAATTTAAGGAAGTGTTATAGCAATTGTAATGGCGAGAATGCGTAACTTTATTACACCGCAAAATCGAAATTAACCTAAAACTATTTTGTTTTGCTTTTTGTCGTTAAATTCAATCAGACCAGAAGCAGAAACCAATAAATAAAACTTTTACTCTCATTTACAAGCCATTTTGATTTAGTTTTGTAAGTGAAAATACAGATGATATTAATGTAGAATATTTCCAAGTGTTTTGTTTTCGTTGTTGTGATGAAGCTGGATTATTTATATTTCGTATTTTTTGGTTATATTATACAAGTGTCGGAAGAAAATGGAGGACATGGAAAACAGTAAGTTTAATTTTTGTTTTGATCTACATCCCAGGTGATTTTTTTTAATAAAACTAGAAAAACCAGACAAAAGGATTTTTTATTGTTATCAAAAAAGGAAAAAAAATAAACGATAAGCAATTGTACTTTGAATTTTACACGTCGCATATGAATGCTCCTTACATCGGGACATAACTCATCTTCTTCATCCACCTCTCCAATTACAATCAGAGGGAGGGACCAATAATAACTAATTTTTGAAATTAACTTACAAAAAAAATCAGTAGAAGGCAGATACATGGATTACTTTGTGATAATAAACTTGTTAATACTGTTTTTTTTATATATTAAAATCACACTTTATTTGACTTATTAACCCTTTCAATCACGAATTTTCAAAAACCAATATAACCAGTCTATAAAAGTTGACAAGGGGAGTAGCCATGTGTGAGTTGAGGTAATTTTAAGGTGAAGGGGGAGAAAAAGTCCTTTATATATCACAAGGAAAGTCAATGTTTAATTATTTAACAAAACATTGAGTGCGACCGGTTTCGAAGTGTCATCACTTCATCTTCAGGCTCGCCTAGTGGAAAGGAGAATATGTGGTGTAAGGTGTGTTAACTTGGAGCAAACGATATATAAAATATTAAAAAAGAAAAACTCACCATACTCTCCATCCACTAGGGAATACTATAAAACAAGTTTCATCAAATGTGGGGTGAAATAAATTGTAAAATGAACAAAGTTTACAAGTAATAAAAAGTTAAAAATATTTGAAAAAACAAATATTTTTTTTTCGAGATATCTGTCAAAATTTACATTTTTTAGTTACATTATGTAGACTACAGTATACATGGTGACTAAGAGACGTATATAAATAAGAATAATTTCCTTAAATTCCTTTTATCGAACACATTTTCATTTTCTGTCACATTGTAAGTGATTATTTGTATCTCGTTGCCGTCTACCAAGTAGGCATTTCTGCTCTCGATACATTTTAGATACCTTGTATCTAGAAGCCAGTTCAACAAGCGACGTTTCTTCTGGTTCTTTAGAAGTATTAGCGCTGCCAATGCTTCATTATCATCTAAAAAGAAAAAAAATATTACATATTTATTCCTAAACAACCCCTACTTGGATCTCAGGATCTTCATAGTAAACATTCTCTTTTATTTCTAATTCATCTAACTCGAAATCATTATTATTGAGAATTTTAGATAAATTCTTTTTATTTAACGATTTTTTCCAATAGCGTCTGTCAGTCATGATGTACACTGTAGTTGTAAACCTTTATAATATCAAAAGTTTACGATTTTTCCAAGATACCAATAATTCATTACTTACCTGAAATCAAATCTTCAAAGACTAAACCAAAGTTCTCATGTTTAAACATTTAATTTCTGTTTTAGTGTCCATCTAAAAATCCACGTTCCACATGTAATTCACAAGCATAAACATACACATACCGTGTATAAAAAACCTCACAAAGAAGAACCGAAAAAACATATTGTGATTCATAAACATATTCACCATCATGGTCACAAACATGGGCATAAACATGGCCACAAACACAATCATAAAGCCAAACATGATCACGGGCATAAACATGATCACAAACATAAGCATAAGCATGATCATAAACATAAACATCATGGATATAAACACAATGATCATAAACATCATGACTTTCATCATGATCATCATGGCTATACAAATAAAGATAATGAATTTAAACATTTTCAACCTAATCCTGATTATAACCCGTCTGAGCTTTTAAATGACGATGGCTACAAAACTAGTAGAAAATCATTAAAAACAGAACACATTGAAATACAGCACATTGATTCTTCGGCTTCAGATCCCAACGATCGAGTAAAGATAGCTGGTAGTTATAAAGTACAAGAGAGTGATCCGTACGATTCAACCACTACCTCGTATCATACATATGATTCACCCTTTACAAAGGAAATAGCAAAACAATTAACCAATTTTAGAGATGGTGATGAAGAAAAAGAAAAGAAAGAGACGTTAGATGAAGATTTTGATGCAGCAAATAATTATGAAAATTATGATGATAATGCGGATCATTTTGAAAATTATATTCTTCGGCCAGATTGAGAGGAGGTTACAACATGAAATGCTCACAAAATTCTAATATTTTGTTTCTGTTTGTATTTAATTTAAATTTGTAAAGTTTTGATGAATAAATTTTGTATATTTTCTATTATTACATGTATATTAAAAGTGTTTGTTGGTAGGTATTTCTAAGATATAAAAAAGTCGTTAAAGTAAACTTTCTTATAGCGTGAAAATTTTTACACTACACTAAATCCCGCGGTTTTATGCTTCATGGTTTGGACCTAAAACCATTAGTATGCATAAACACCAATTATGTTTTTTAAAAAATTGTTGTTTGGTTCCATATCACTAGTTCACTAATTTATTCTTAAAGTTTCACTACTTCTAGTAGTTTTTTTTTCTTGTTTTAATGTATAAATCATTTTTTAAGATAAATACTATGCTCCTATTTTAATTTCACCATATAATATTCTATTTTATTAATTTTTGGTATTTCTAAATTTTTTCAAGTATTTATTTATTTATTCATTTATTTACCAACGAGGCATATAGTCTTATTACATGGTAAAAAAATAACATAATATAATCATTAATAACAACAAAATTGTAGTTATCTACAGTAATATATCTTACATTATAAACATTATGAGTTCAAATAGCAACACATTGGATTTTAAACAAAACATCTCGCAAAACACAGTAATTATTTCAAATATCACTTAAGGTAAGTTGATAAAACTCATTTTGAGATATTGACCAGTCTACATTAATTAGCATGGTAAAGTTATTTGCAAATTCAAGCATTCTTACCAAAGGATCTCTTGTACTTCTAAGGTGATTTGGAATTTTAAAATAGTGTAAAGAATTATACTTATTTTGTTTAAATTTAAATGGTATACCTTTATCTAGTAGGTCTCAAAATTGATAACATGCTTATAATTTATTAGCCTAAAAATATAACTTTATATCTCAGAAGTAGATAGCATTTGACCTAGTGTTATTAAGCAAAATATTAATATTTAGAGAACCTGAGCCTATGGTTAAAATATTTACCATTCTTTATGAAACAACCTGTATAGAGCGTCGAAAAGTACTTTATCAGAAGCTGCAATGGACCTGGGAGGGCCCCTACACCTTCCTGCAATCTGTTTAATCATCTATTGTTACAAAACATTTCAAAGTTTGCTATTTTCAGCTTTTACCTACAACCTACGACAGTGTTCAAGTACTGATAGATGTACTATTTCGAAATTAGTTTCAACCAATCTATTCATCAGAGTATTATTGCTTGTATTGTTAATTAAATACGGTACTGATCATATATAATCTTTAAATTCTAATAAAACTGATCCAAACAATTACACCCACGGAATCTCGTAATTACATATTAGTCGACATAATGCACCCTTATTGATAGCATAATATCTTGACCATTAACATACAAATCATATTAGTCTGTGAGCCACTATCCATTTTGCAGCTATAAATCAGAATACAGAAGAAACCAAAGACGTGTATTACTGTTTCATGAAATGGACTATGGGTAAAAATACAAAGTATGGTTCAGATTAAACTAACAGGCATTTCAGTAGGCGTAAAATAAATAACAAGTAAAAATAATATTTGCAAAAGTAAATATTACCGATAGTAGACAAGCACTACGTCTATTTCCAGAATATCACAAAATCCAGCTGTATGTAAGCCAAAATGGACTAAACGCCACATTACGATAGCTCGCTTGCTAGAAAGGCAACTGGTTAAGACCTTTGGGCATGAGTAGTCAAAATCGATCAATATTAAATATAGAAATATTTGACATATTTAAAAAGAACCTACGTCTAGCAATGGACATTCTAATCGGTCATTGAGATCTTCAAAAATGCCTCCAAAAAACTATATCATGCACAGGGTGTAGTAAAGACTTGACCAATTCTTAAAGATATGTTTAAAAATTATTATCTGATTTAAACGAAATTTTAAGAGATTTTTATGAAAATAAAATTACATTATTCAAGGCAACTGCGACTCTACAAACATTAATCAATTCAAAATATAAAATTATTCTTTTTAGATTAATTTTACGTCGAAAAGGAACTCAAAGTATTAGGTAAATTATATTGAAATAAAATAAATAATCAAACTGACTTTATTTTTTGACGAATTTGTAATTAAAAGATTGGGTTTAAATCAGATAATGATTTTCAAACATATCTTTGTGAAAGTAGTAACCAAAGATAAACAACTAGTAGACTAATTTTATAGATACCAAATTATTATGGGCGAGTGTGAGAGAACCTTTTTACAAGTAATTGTTGTTGTTTTAATTCGGATTTGACTTATTGTAAGGCTCTAAAACGCACGAAAGGCTTTAAAAATTACATTAAGGAAGTATTTGCATTCTTAGTGGCTGTTTTTATCAGTATTATCTGTAGCTGAAGGTGATTTACAGGAAAATACACCATTTGTTTACAATTTGGCAACTGTGTAACGAAGAAATCATAGTAATACAACCTCTTTAATTCATAAAACGCGTATTGAAACCTCAGATAAACCAACCCGCACGAAGCGTCCCTACTCAATTCGACAGCCGTCTCGCTCTTTCTAATACAGCAGCCGATTCGACAGCTCTGTTAACGATTATAAAACATAATCTAAATGCTTGCATTAAATAAGGATATAATTATGAATAAATGGCTTGATCTACTAGTTTTTTGTTTTTGGTGCAATAGTATAATGTTAGCTAGATTTTTATGAAGCGCCCTGTAAATTCGGAGTTTATTAGGAATCTCCAACCAATTACCAACCAAGGTGAAATAGTGAAGCTAGACCAATTATGCTTTTTTTACTTTTTAGTTAAATACTTACGTATTTATTATTTAAAGATTATTAAAAAATATAAAAAACAATTAATTCTGTTTAAATAATGTAAAAAAATAAATATTCTTGTTATAGTTTCACACCTAAATAATAAAACTTTATATTTTCAAGCCGTATCACACGTTAGGTAAAAAGTAGAACAGCGATTTTAAATTGTGCTAAAAAAAGTTAGTCTTCAAGCGCATATACTAAATATCTCTTGCAGATTCGAGACTTGTCCTGGGGGACCGTAAGGTGCAGAGAATCGAGTTCTCACACAGGTATGGGGGCGTGGAAGTACACGCCGCGTTTGACCCAAGTAATTAGAGCCCTCTATACTTGCGCTTCAGAGGTCAGCAACGATTCACATGTCTATTGCCTAATTACTAATCTAAAAATGTCAGTGGTTTGGTTTGCTTACTTATGGTTTGCGCCGAACAATGACTCGTTTTGTTAAAGTTCGTTTCGATTTCCATTTTAGGACTCATCACGATACAGATAATTGTTCATGAATGGTAGAAATTGTTTAGATTTTTAGTTAGATTGCATTTGAAGACCATAAGGAAAAAAGGGGGAATGTCACAAAAAGTAAGTTTCGAGAAAAACGAATTTTAAAACAGGCACTGACTTGCAAAAAATGATACTGTCTTTAAAAGTTTACGATAATAGCGATCGAATACAAAACTTGGACATTTCCCCTTTATACCATTTATAATGTGGACATTTCTCGTTATTTCCATGTGCCTAATATTCATCACTCGGTATTCATAACTCAGCTGAAAGCTGTTTATTTAGGAAGAATTATCCAGAAAAAATAGTAAAAAAATTATGTCAAGTCTGGTTTAAGAAATATTTATTTATAATGATTAATTTTTGCCTTCTTTTTATATTTATTTGAATCAATTTCTCTTATAATAGACCAACAGTAATCCCCAGACATGTTTTCATCCCAAAATTCTTGATGTCGTTGTTCAAAAACCTTTAAATCTTGGTGGAAACGTTCTCTTTGTTCATCACTCATACTACTTAAGTTTTCAGGAAAAAAATTCAGATGCGAGTGCAAAAAACGAATCTTTAATGATATGTTTACTCCTATCTATTGTAATTTTCTCTTTTTTTGTTTCCCAAAAATTCTTCCACAATCATTTTGAATGACTTCCAAGCAGATTTTTCATTAACAGATAAAAGGCTTTCAAATTGAGAATATTTCATAATTTTACGGATTTGTGGGCTAACAAATATACCCTCTTTCAGTTTTGCTTCTATAATGCTTGAAATTTTTTTTTGTAAAAGCTACAAACGATCGGTTTAAAGTGTTATGTAACAGTAGTGGTTTAGACAGGTTCCAGAAAGGTGTGAAGGGATGGAGATGTCATACAGGTTTATCATTGTATTTAAGCCATCAATTATATTGATATGCTGGTTTTTGGTAACTCAATTTGTTAACTTTTACAATTGAAATTCCGTGAATTCTTGAAAAAACTTTTATTTCTTACTTTTAATAATATTCCATCGAAAAATGAATATTTTGTTTGTTGTTTCACCCTTTATGGAAATTGATATCCAACAGTTTGCAACTTGTGTTATGCAGAACTTTGGCGAAGACATCGTTGCAACAGTAATGAAAATAATTGAGTTTCAAAATGATTTAGCCTTAAAATCGTTAGTCTCAAGTACAAAATATATCTGACCTATTGTAAGTAAAGACAAATATTCAGTTCTATGCCGTGTTGCCTTGAAAGTGAAAGCATTATTCAGTTCAACCTATTTGTGTGAATCTTCTTTTTCCAATATGAAGTTTATTAAGAACAAATATCGCAATCGACTTACAGATGAACATTTGGATAATTGTATTCGAATTGCTGTATCAAATTATATTGCAAACATTAAAAAAATTATCGATGAGTCTGAGTGTCAGCCTTCTCATTGAACGTGCTTTTTTATTTTTCAATGTTTATGTTCATGATAGTGCGTTACTTTTTTGTTGTTATTATTAACTATTTTTAAATCTTACGTGACATGCCGTTGTGGCTGGATAAAAATTTGTGTTTATTTTTTAAACACCTTCGTTTGGTAGGTAGGAATGTAGCTATAAATAAGTACGTACTAGTAATATTAGTTATTTTGTTATTAGTTTATTATTAGTACCTATGTATTATGTATTACCAGTTAAATAGTAAAAT